CTATTCTAGTCTCAGGCTGCTAATAAAGTACGTGAATGCCTTGAATCCAAGTAAGCAACGTGAAGAAATAGGGAGCTCCAAGTAACCTCTGCTTTGTTAATTAGTACCCCGTTCATAGAGGGCTTGAACATGTACCCTTGAAATCAGTGAGAGTTTTGTTGTTAACTTAAATGGGAACTGGATCAATCCCAGAATGATGTAGTACAATACAGTACAATGACACGTAACCAATCTACTCAGCTTTTGTGAGTGGTAACTAAATAATATTCATAAAGTGCTATGAACGTGTTAAAGAATGATTGCTTGAGACAGCACCACTAGATTTAGGGTAAAATTTTCCCATGCACCTCAATGACTTAGGAGTCTAAGTCCCATTTTCAAAAGTGACTTAAGCCCAGATTTTTAAAGGTATTTCAGTGTTTCTTTGCTCACTGTTTCAACATTTAACTGACTTGGGAGCAAAAGTCTTGTTTTCAGAAGTGAGGTAACAAAGAGCTTAAATCCCATTGACTTTCAGTGAAACTCAGGCTTCTAAAGGGCAGATTTTCAAAGGCATTTAGGCACCTGACAAAGAAGATTGGTGCCTAGTGGGATTTTCAAAATGCTTGGGTGCCAGTTAACAGGTGCTTTTGAAAGTCCGAGTAGGCAACTATCTGCATGGAGGCTAAATACCTTAGAAAATCTAGCCCTTTGGAATTAAAACAAATCCCATTGACTGTCAGTGGGACTTAGGCTCCATAAATGCTTTTGAAAATGGGAGTTAAGCTCCTAAATCACTTTGGCTCTTTTGAAAATGTTACCCTTTGTGTGTCTCCATGAAACAAACACTGCACTCCAGGTCTTCATAAAAGTTCAGTGAGGTGATCGTGTCCCCACGTGTGAAATACATAGAATTAGAGAACTTTAAAGGGTTTGTCGAAAGCTACAGAGGGAATTGATATCAGGACTGGGGTGGGAGCTCAGGAGTTTCTGGCTCGCAGCCTACTGATGATACCAGTAAATCTCAGCTTCGTTAAGTGCCTTCATCTAACCTTAAGGCTTCACAGTAAACAAAAAAAATCCAGCAATTGCCAATCCAAAATAAAATCTTAAATCATCAGTCATGCTTGGAGATCCCTATCACAACAGTGTCCTTTGAGCAGTCAAAAGTTAAAAGGCCATTTGAGCAGGAAATGTGCTAAAAAAACCCATGATAATTTATAATATATTATAAAATATGTATCTTTCCTATCGTATGGCTTGATCCTGCACCCACTGAAGCCAATGGGAGCTTTGCCATTGACTTTAATGGTAGGAGGATTAAGTCAAAATGCCAATAAATCCATTTGTTTAGGAATTGCACCCTTCTAATGTTAATTGACTAAAATTAAGCTTGCTTTTTATAGTAGCCTCTACACACAGCTCTCTTGAAATATGAAATCTAATCAATCTGGTTTTTATATCTCTAGACAGACTATGATTAGTAGACTTGGCAGGGTCAGAAACTAAGCTTGTCAGTCTGGTTAAAAGTACTTGTGGTTTGTGTTACTTATTGCCATAGATGACAGGGCACTAATGGTGCATTGTGCTTTTTTTTATGAATAGGAAATAAAACGAATCTAAATATCTAATGCATAGGTAGACTCTAAAGACATTTCTTTGTTGTAAATTCTGGAGTGGTTTTTTTCTTCATTGCCTCAGGTCACTTGAACAGTCTTTTTCGAATCCATAAAAACAGACTTGAAGCCTTGCTGTCATGTCTGACTCCATTCAAAAGATTACCCAGAGGTGCTAACTCAATACCTATTGTAGGTACCCAGTAGGCAAGGGAGAGAGAATGGAATCTTCTCTCACTAGTTATGGTCATCAAAAAGAAGCTTTAAGGAGCATGTTGTTGAACTTAATTACTAGAACTACCCCCAGACAGATATCAAGCACCCTCGCAAGCTGTAGATAAGGTTCATTTGGTAGCATTTCTTTCTATACCAGCTGTTAGATGAAGGTACTTTTAGCATCCCGGGGCCTATGCATTCTACAGAATTGTGCGTCTTTAAACTGTTACTTCATTGATTCCCAAAATTTCCTAACTGAAAAACTGACAGAAATTTGACCATTTCATTGGTTACTGCCTTACAAATTCTATCGACAGCTGAGCATTAGCAATGAATTAATTTTGACACATTTTTGAAATGTTAAATACACAAGTCTTTGCACCTGATATGCCCAAGATTCTCAGACTCATAGAACTGGAACATTTTCATCTACTGATTTTCAAGCCAGCGACCTCCAATATCTTATGTCCCTTATTTGGGAGATGACTGCAAACATTCTGTTGATTCAAATCAGTATAATGAAATGTGGGGCAGTCTGTGTTTGATCTCCTCTGTATTGTCAAGATGTGACTAGAAAAACCAGTGAGCATGAGTAAGAGAATCTTGATCCTTCTCTTCTCCATACCAAACTGATAGCCCAACCCTTATGACTGACAGTTTTGTTTGTTATAGGGCCTGCAGTACTGTATAATAAAGTACTAAGGGACAAACTTTGCTCTCGTTTCTCTTTGGAGCACTGTGACGAGAGCTGCAATGGTCTAGTGATGGTGCTCTTGTGCATTCTGGATGCACAGGGCAGATACAAGCAGCATTCCTGTATACCAGTACTTTTGCTTTCTGGAAAAAGGTGCAGTGTGCACTTCTGTGATTAAGAACAGCCATTGAACATTGCCAAATCTCCTAGTTTACACCCCTTTGGGAGTGTTAGTGTCAGGAATCTGGCAATGGGTACTGTACACTGTAGGGTTTTACACAGACTCTGTTTAGATTGCTTCATCTAAATTACTGTATATGCAGTTTCCTGTTGGCAGATAATATAATATTCTTCCCTTTATAGAAGAAATTTCCCTTTTCACATTACAACTTTCTATCCTCCTGAGAATGTGAGGGAGAAAGGGAATTCTTGTTCTGGGACACATTATATTGTACCATCATCTGCTATTATCCTTCAATCTTCTGGTCTGTTCTTTTCACCTCCTCGCGTTTTCCTATGTTCTGTGTCCTTCAGTAAATGGTAAGAGAAGATGCTGTTTCTTCCAAATGAGCATCCCTTCTTGCTCTTCCCTGAGCTCTCTGCAACCCCCTCTGCAAGTGCTACTTCAGACTTTGAAACAAAACCAGTAAAAATAGAATTTCACATCCCCTTCAAAGAAATACTCTCTCAAATCTGGTGAGAAGGGGGCTTAGTTCTTTGCTATGCTGCAGGAACTAGATTTTAGGTGTAAGATCAAGCCATAAAAACCTTTTCCTTTTCCCCACTGTAAGAAAACATGATCTGTAAACTGGGGGAGTTACCTTTGGCAGTGTAACAGACTCGTGGTGCTTATGTGGCTTTCTGATAAGGCTATCGAAGCTATACTCACAATTGCTGAAGTCATAAACACTACAAAGACTCTTATCTCCACAGGTTGGTAATGGGATATGGAACCTTTCACTTCTAGGCTGCTGGAGTGAATCTGACATAGGTTACCCGGGAATGAAAGTTTTGACCTTTTCAGTGGCCTACCTAAAAGTTAGTAGTCTTGGTCCAGTTCCTAATGGACACACACACACACCCACACACACACACCCATTGATTTCAATGGTAGTTAAGCACCTAACCTGCTTAGGTGCTTTCAAAAATCCCTGTAGGTGTCTATCTGCATCTATAGATGCCTGAATACCTTTGAATATCTGGTCCATCACAATTAAAATTGGGAATTTCAGCTGAAAAACCAAAGATTTAATGGACCTAATATCTTTACAATTATTTTTGCAGTTTTTGATTAATCGCCTCTTTAAGTCAGGACTGAGGTACATTGGTTGAACAATCCAGTTGAATGGTATCCATGGTTCACCTATTGTCTCCATTCAAAAGTCACTATTTGCCAACAATTTTCACACAGTGTGGTGTATGAAATACCACAGTATTTCTTTATATTCAAAAATAGGAGATATCTGTGGAAATTGTATGGTAATGGTGAGCAAATATATAATTTTAAATGGCTTTCATTTGTTGTAAGTAGAGGACTTAAGACTTCAGTTCTGTAATTCTGTTACCCTGGCAACTTTCACAAGCATTAAATTGAAATGTATTTAAATAGTAACAGTAAGAATAGTACACTGAATAAAAACAAACTTAAAAACACTTATGAATTATTTTAAAATATTTAAACATACCAGAGTAGATAGTTAAAAAATGGTTAATGGGTAATATTAAGGTTTGTTGAATTAAGCAATGATCGCAACATGACTGAAAATCAATTAACTTGTTTGAAATTGTAATATAATTAGTAGTTCTGCCAATCAGTACACAAATGCTTCCTGCAAGAAATTGTCAATTTTTGGATACCTTCCAACTAAATAAATAATTTATACCTATCCTACTTTCTCAGAATCATATGTAGTAAATATTTAAGCTATTTTATTGTTATGCATTCTTAATCATTAAAAATATTGAATAGCTGGGTGCCTTTTGTTGAATAAGTGCAGGCAGAGAATCCAGTTCTGCTCCCACCAATTTCAGTGCAATGTTTCCAGTTTATATTAGAGAGCAAGATCGTTAGGCCCTGAGCCAGCAAAGCATTTAAGCACATGCTTAACTTTAAGCACATGAATAATCCCCTTATGTCCCAATCCGACTCCCATTGAAGCTGATGGGAGTCTTTCCAATAACTTCAGTCGGAGTTGGTTTAAGGCCTTAATGAACAAAATCAAAGGTGATTTGACTACAAAATCAGATACAAGGATAACCTCCTGAATTTAATTTTGGAGCATTTTGTTTTGATTCAGTCAACGGAATACAGTAATGATTTTTCTACACTGCAACCTTAACTCTAGTTTACAATGGAAAAGAGAGTGTTGTTTATTTCACAATCCTTTGGATCAGGCTTTTTATACAACAGAGATCGAAGTCAGTGGATTACAAAGCACAAAGAGAGATGACAATTGACCAGTTAGTTTTAAGTCACCAATTTCTTATTTCCACAGTGCCACCAGTGATTCGTGTATATCCTGAAACTCAGGCACAGGAACCTGGCGTATCCGCAAGTCTCAAATGTCACGCTGAAGGCATTCCTAATCCCAGAATTACCTGGCTAAAAAATGGCATTGATATCATGCCAAAATTATCCAAACAACTAACACTCTTAGGTAAGGACAGAATTCTGGGAAATTTATGTACTGTTAAAAAAAAGGAGTTAAATGGTTTATGTTGCACCTAAAAATAGATGTTTTTCTTTTGCTGTCACAAAAGTATGAAAATTATGTTCCATGACCTCTGTTCTTTTTTTCTATCTCTTTCTCCAGTGATTTTTCCATAAAGTACAATGTTGCTTGGTAAAAATGATAACAGCATTCTATTAAAACACCGTGTACCTGATACTCCACTGCTTTGCTCATGGTTTAAATCAGGAACAATCAGAAAGGCAATATAGTACATTCACTTTGTATAGATGTAAATGACTATACGAGATGCAAATCTACTGAGAATCAGGCTCTGACTCATGTGTCTCCCTTTTCAGATTAACATCTGCAAATGAAATTATTTCTCATTGCTAATTTTAGACCCTCATTTTCAAAAGCTAACAGAGGGCAGGATCATGTGTAAATTGTACTTGCAATACAAATATAAGGAAACGAGACCTCACCTAGCACAGTTAAAAGGGTTTTTTAAATGATAGTGCATTATAGGAGAACAACACAATAGGTGGGATTGTGTAGAAAACATTAATACCCTCTACTAAAATGGTGAAAAATCAGGTTTTCATTGATTTGATGAAAAAAATTGTGTAGTATTTGTATGATTTTGTGCCCAAAAAAAGGCAATTTTACAAATTTTTACTCCAGGCAAATAAGTGAGATGTTGCAATTCTGTTTGGATGTGGAATTTCACTTTATTTCTTTGTGGGAAGTCTGTATTTGACACTAGGAAAAGAAAACACTTCCATCCTCTAGCAATACGCAGATTCCTCAAAATCTCAGTTTAAACATGGAAAATATTCAGAGATAAAAACTTGTCACTTTGCAAGCCTATAACAAGCCTCTTTAGGAAGCTAAGGCATTTGAACAGCTATGTTACAGCAGTGAGGAACAGTTTATGGATGTCTTTGTTGCAGCAAATGGAAGTGAACTTCATATCAGTAGTGTTCGATATGAAGACACCGGTGCCTACACATGCATTGCTAAAAATGAAGTGGGAGTGGATGAGGACATATCTTCTCTCTTCATCGAAGATTCAGCCAGAAAGACTCGTAAGCTTAATTTTTCCTTTATCTTTTTAGGAACCCACTGTTTATTTTTGTTCTAATGCTATGTGGTTTATCTGAAGTTACCACTTCCCCTCTTTGGTTTTAATCACTGTGTACAGTGCGGGCGGGAGAGAGAGAGAGAAGGGGGCGGCCAGGGCTACAGCAGGGGCGCTGCCACGCGGCCCCTCCCGCTGCGCCGCCTCCTGCCGCTTGCCGCGAGGGCTGCGCTCCGGTCGGCAGAGAGGGAAGGAAGAGGACTGCCCTGCAGGGCGCTCTGGTTCTCCGCGCCGCCGCCCCCTACAGGGCGGCCGGAGCGGAACAAAAAAAAAAAAAAAGGCGGCGCAGCCGCCCTAGGAGAGGGCAGAGCCCCCCCAAGCACCAGCTTGCTCAGCTGGTGCCTGGAGCCAGCCCTGGTGATTACAGAACTGGGCTCTAGTTTGAGAAGATATCACATGAAGTATGATAGAAGACTTACTGTATCACCTTGTTGAGGGTCTTTTGTGTGTTAGGGTTGTGTTGAGATATGGGCATAGATAGCTTTTCTACATTGCTAATATTTTTGGATGTAAAAGAATACAACCCAGAGATTTCTTCTAATGACTGCCTGATTTTAAAAATGAAATTTCATTGTTCTGTTTGTACAGACTTTTCCTTTTTCAAGACAAATAATACTCAAAATAGCCAAATATTGGATGCCTAGAATAGTGATCTGTGAAACTATTTTAACTTTAAGGGATGTCATCAGTTCAAATTGCTTGAATTTTTTAGTGTACCTGTATCACATTGAAAAGAATCAAAACAGTTTTAAAAATATTAAGATTATTTTCCATAACAAAGACAAGTATTTTGCCATCCAAATCTTAGCCACTGTCTTCTGAAGAGCTGATTGGTTGCCACTTTGGAGTAACTCTCCAGAGTGCTTCTGCATATGATGCTTCTAAAGGTTCTGCAGATTGTACATGCGTGGGTTGATATTTTAGGGCTATGTGTAAACAGGATTCTGCTGCTTAGGTCACCTCCCAAAAATACACCACATTCTGAATTAGATGTTAACAATAGATACACACAGTCATGGCAATACTTGGTTCATTAAATAGAATTGTGTATTCTTGCAAATATCTGTCACTTTCACTTGAACCCTCGGGCAAGGGAAATTATACTATGGTGAGAAATAATTTGAAATATTACAAACCAAAATTCAAGTAATATACCTAAGGATGTTGTTTGAATCCTAAATGAAAATATAGTGTTGTTGCGTAACATTTCCAGAGGAAATACTGGAAAGCATTTCGTTGGTATAACTGTCTGTTCTAGGCTTCAGAAAGATATTATATTTGCTTAATGAAAATGTATGGGAAATCGCTGTCTGTACTGTACCTACAATTACATTCAGGAGAATATTCTGTACATCAAGGCTTGATCCTGCAGTCTTGGTACAGGCAAAACTCTCATTCATAGTAATGGGAATTTTATCAGCGCAAGGACTGCAGGACTCTCCCACAAGGAGAAGTTTGACTTTGGAAATGTCTCTTTTTCCTGATGTTTTATTCAAATTAAATACTTTGCCTGGATGAATGCTATGAAGTTTTTACAAATTAAGCGATTCACTTAAAATCACAGTGTTAATTCAGTTAACTGCTACAATGAAAATTTTGACATTGTATGTTTTTTTCTTTTCTTGATTATTTTCTGGCTTTCCCAATTTTCTGATGCTGCAGTTGCAAACATACTGTGGCGAGAGGAAGGTACTGCAGTAAAGTTGTTTTGTTGTAGTGATAATGTGCTTGTCTGCTTCAATAATTCCATAATGGGCCATTCTCCACTGACTTGCCACTAACTTTATCAGCTCTCACGGCTTTCAGATTAAATATCAGACCAGCAGTCCAAAAGCCACCCTTCATATAATAGATGTCACTTTCGTGATGTAAATCCTGTACATATTCCCTTAGATTTTTTTTATATAAAATTATAGATGATCATGATATATTTGAAATTGTTGATTTGGCACAAACAATCACTAATGCAATTTAATGTCAGATTCTTAGCAAATATCAATAGCTTAACAGAATTTCCAGAACAACTATGATCTCAATTTACTGCAAATGAACAAATGTAGATATAAATATAAGTTCCATTTTTAAACATGTGGATCATGCTGTTCTTTGCCTGTTCTTTAAGAGTATGTACAAATGTTTATTATGTAAACCACACACACACTGCTTGTGTTCATATGTGTTGGGTGAAACAATAGTTATTGCTCCCTCCAATCCTTTAAATAGATGCGGGGCACAGGATGCCTCATTTCTTCTTGTTTTAATTGGCAATTAAGAACTCTAATCCGATCAGATTTATAGTGTGTCCTGCACAAGGTCAAAATTTCTGTAACTTGAAGGCTAAATTAGAGAAAAAGCATCCTAAGTAGCTAATGGACTCAAACTCCGTCAGGAGACACTTGTGGCCAACATTTGATTTGATTTTGTGTGTGCATATCCTGTAGTTATGTGCAAAAATAGGTATTAAGATATCTAGATACCGATTTGCACATGCAATGGCAGTAAATGAATATGCAAAAATATCTAAACAGTTGTGCTCCAATTGGATATTTTACAGTTTATCCACTTGCATATGTACAAGCATATATTATCCAACTGCATGCACAAATGTGGACATTTGGGCACTTTTGGGGTCTTGCATGTGTGCCTCCAAGCCACTGGAAAAATTGGCCCCTGGACTGTAAAACACCCACTAAAAAGATGTGACTGTTTTGGGTGGGTTTTTTTTAAAGTCCAGTCACAAGCTGGTGTTGGATTGGGTGCAGGCTTAACTTGTGCATCTTCCACACCTACTAGCATTATGGATCAAGTCTTCACCAGTGAATAAATTGTTCTTGAGCAACCTCCATAATGTATCTGGCACAAGCATCCTTTCCTTCTGCCATCAGGCAAAGCATATATTTCCATCCTACTAGTTGAGAGTACAAGGACCATTTCACACCCGGTCCTCTACACTATGCAAAGAGAGGCTCTTATTGCATCACTTGGCTTAGGGCTATTCGTTTTGCTTTGGCTTTGCCCTGAGGATTTTAGAGGCATAAGGAAAGTGACAGTTTTCAGTGACCTGTAGTTCTTCATCTTGGCATATGAACACCCAGAGTGTATCCACTGTCCCATTCTCTGCAGTAGTGCTGATGGCATATGTGTAAAAGCAGCGGGTTTTGGGTCATTACAAGTGGCAGGATCACTAACTTGAGCAGATTGTCCTGAGACAGTTCTTCCCTATTCCCAACTCAGCACCAGCTACTGTGTAATACACAATGATGGAGATTGTTTCTCCACTGCTGAGCTTCATGTAAATTGCACTGTGGGCATTTAGATTTGCTCCATTCCAGTGTATAGTTTGCTCAGATCGGAAATTGCTGTTGAATTAAATCAGTCAAGCGTCACCTATGTAATGGTGCATGGTTGTTTATGTACTGTGTATCCCATGTTCTACCTTAAAGATCCTCAAGGGGTGGGGTGAGAAAACTTTACATGGAATAAGCAGACAGAAAAGGAATTAAAGGAATATGTAAAGTTGAATAATAGTTCTACTAAATATAGTGTAGTTACTGTAAACTGACCAGAAACAAACCTGCACATTTCTAAATTAAATTAAATTCTGAACATTTAGAGGGAGAAACGGTGCTAGTGAGAGTAGATTTATTATCAATGTTCCTGAAATAACTGTGTGTTTAGAATATGATTATATAAATCTTTGCCTACATATTAGAAATTAAGTTGTAAAATATTTGATCTGCAAATTCATTCTAGAGAAAGGAGCCAATTTAGTATGATAAAACTTGGCAAAGAGAAAAGGCTGGATGAGAGAGCGCTTTTTCTTTTGTTTGTTTGTTTACATTTTATTTTACTTATTTTTCCTTGCTGTTAAAATTAAAGCTGGTGATTTAATAAACATTATTAACCAAAAGGATGGGTACAGCTGAATCCATTAAGGTGATCAAATTCTCATGTTGTCATATTATAATAAATTAGATATTGTAGTAAACTAATGATGTGAGTTAATTACTGTATGTTGTGCTGCATGAAGCAAGCTTTTTGCTTTAAATCAGAGTTTAAATAATTGCAGTTGATCATTGAAAGAGGGCTATATTTTCAAAAGTTTTCATATACACAACTATAACCCAGGAAATGAACGCACATAGCATGCTCAGCCAGTTTCACATAGAATTGAAAGTATATGCAATAATTAATGCTTTTATGTGCATGTATCTTGTACAGTGAAAATAGTGGATAGAAGAGTGGGTGGCTCAGATACAGAATTAATCGCCATACTATTTTCAAAGCTGGAATAGTTTTCATTATGTCTGGGCCAAGGGAGGACAGGGAGAGCACACAAATAAATAATCATCAGAATTATATATGTATATAAATTTAAACATGAAAGCCTTGTATTACCAGTTTTAGCTATTTAAATCCTTCAATCGATTTGGATTAGAATGAGAAAAACCATTACATGGATTGCCCTAGTGATACCGATTGGACCATTACTGTGTGTAAGCCAGTCAAGATTGAGGTGCATGTTTTTGATATGACAGTCAAACTCCAAGGGTTAACTAGTGAAAAGTAACTTTTGAGTTTAAAAGCTAGATTGAAAATTACCGACCATAAGAGCATTTTAATTTAATACCCTGTAAACCCTGAAAAGAGTGTTATCTTCAACAAACATCTTAATGTTTTAAATAGTGCCTGGTCCTGCTTCCGTTGAAGTTAGACACAAAACTCACACGGACTTTAGTGGAAGTAGATTCAGGACCATCATGTTAAAACATTGCAAGGTAACTGAAGTAAATTGGAAGAGTAACTCCAAATCTGCACAGAACTGAAGGCATTATCAAGCAGTGTTTTTGCTATTAGGGGCTACTAAAAGCTGAAAAGTGCATTCATATTCTTAACCAAATCATCAAATAAAATAACACGAATAATGTGCATGCAGATAATAACAGGCATCTATCACAATTGTCATAATTTATTGCATGACTGTTTTCACTTTTTAAAATGAAACTTTTATTTTACATATGCAAATTCATTCACTCATTACACAAAGGGCCAAATTCTGCTCTCCGATACATACACTCAGTTCCCATTGAAATAAGAGGGAGTTATGTGCATGCAGTGAGGGTGGATTTTGGCTACCATGCCTGGGCAAAATGACCTGGTAATGTATTTCTGGAAAATTAGCCCTTAGCACCTACCAATCTACTTAGTCCTTAGGTAGAGCCTGAGTGGAAATTCAATATTGATGCTTTTTTCAGAATGCATGATCCCTCACTGTGGCATCACCTTTAAGGATCACAGCTCCTGTATCCGCTTGATGCCTTAACTGGGGTATTTCTGTGGTATGGTTCAGAGGCTAATCTTAAAGCATCCGATTCTCAGTGCAGCGGCAAACATAGCCAAAGCTAAAAAGTCTCTCTACATGCAGTTGTACTCTGAAGCCAGATATTTGACACCAAGATCGTTTAGATTTAAGGAACACCCTCCCATGCTGAAATGTCATTTAAATAAATACAGCAAATATTTTATGAAATTTGCTAAAACTGTTAGTCCCAATTATATGTAGTTCTTACTGTAAAAATCTCCTATGATGATTCAGGCATCAATCCTGGAAGCACTTAACGCATGTGGAGTAACGCTTTAGATGTGAGTCTTCCTAATAGGATTTATAGATGGTAATCTAAGGAGAACTAGTCCCAATCGTGTGGAGTTGCTCATGTTTCTAAGTGTTTGCAGGATCAGGACCTTATTTTCTATGGAGCAAATTTTATTAAAAACAAAATTCTATATCACCAGTGCCATGGAAGTTTGGCAGATAAGTACACTATCAACATTATCTGAGATAACAAAGGCCATTGGAAGAATTTATTTAGCAGGTGGTATAAAAATTTAAAGAGTGTTGGGATCTTTCTGAGTATAGTGTTTGAAAAGATTCCCTAACCCATTTATAAGATATAATTTACTGCATTTGCATGTAGCTGAAGAAGAATCAAACTATCAATGTTGTAGGGCATTTCTGCTCAACAGAAATGTGAAATTATAATCTTACAACAGAAATCCACTGAGAAGCAGCCAGTTTTTCAAAAGCTCCTGGAATGCCCCAGTTTTGATAGCTATTGCTATTGCAATGCTGAAATATTCCACATTTGTGAATTACAGTTTGCAAAATTTCAAAAATGTATTTGTTTTGGTGGCTATTCTTGGTTCATGCAGATGGTTTTAGACTACAGGATGGATTTTTTTAAAATGTATTTCATGAAATAATCAAGCAATGCTTTTATTCATCTTTACAATTTGCAAATTGCAAAAGGTCAAATTAATTGTAACTGTGTGACTTTGAGGGGTTATTTTGTTTGTGTGTTTTTAGCTGACAGTGCCTTCTCAGTTGCCTAACAGTTAGCAAGCTATTTCCAGTGTAAATGGGAAAAGAAAAAGTCATGATTTGGCAAGGTTAGAATGTCACACACATTCAAATTCTGAGACAGATATAATCATGGAAGACCTCAAGATATTTCCCTATCTTTGTTACTGCCGCCACCAAAGCAATGTGTTTTTGAATGTGTCTGTACCTCCTTCCTCACACCTTGAAGCCCTCGTTATGACATGAAGTTTGATTTTGTGAATGCACCAACTGCATCCAAATTACCAGTTTTTATGTAAAGTGATTTTTTGTTGTTCTTCCAAAAATAAAAAGTCTAGAAATGTGGTTTTGTTGTTTTAAATTCTGCTTCTTTCGCTTTGTATTTTTTTTTCTTAAAGGCCTAAGTGTGGGAAATATGTTTTATGTCTTTTCCAATGATGGGATCACAATCATTCAGCCAAACGAATGTGAGATCCGAAGACATATCAAACCCAGTGAGAAGATTTTTACAAGTTATGTAAGTTTTTGTTTTGTTTTGATTTTTTGTAATAAAGTATCCAAGTCATCTGTCAGCTTGTGCTCCCTAGATTTTGTGAAGAGGCTATACAGTAAGAGGGAAAAGTTACATTAACAAAGTGTCCAGTTGAGGATGTGCAAGGCGGGGATTTGTGGCCATGCAAAAGGTGAAGGAAGTTTAGCCTTGGAATCACAGAATGTCTTGGGCCTGGCTTGCCAGTATCCAACACCTTGCGTAGTCATTTCCAAATCTGCCAAGTGGATATAAAATGCTGCCAAATCAGAACTGGGCCACAAAACAACTAGGTCTCCCCAGCTGAGGGCTGCCCCATTGTGGCCCCTGCTAATGTAATACTGGTGTAAATAGCTTTTATGCCCCCTCCCCCATTCTACAGCCTCCGGGTGCAGGTGGTGAGGGAGTGTTGGTGGCAGGACAGGGCATGCAACTGGAATAGTACTGTGTTCTGTGTATTCTTAGCTGGCAGATGACCACAGATATGGCTCAGGAATCAGGGAGTCACAACCAGCTGCTTTGCAATCCCTGTCACAGCTGCACCCAGGAAATACTGAGCTTTGGGCCTAAATCTATGCAAGGGTTGGTACTTCCACAGTACTTGTTCAATACAGTTCTTCTTCAAGGCCCTATGGGTGCTCCACTTCAGGTCCACATGCATCTGTGCAGCCCTTGTTCAGAGATGTTCAGTTAGCAGTGTCTGTTCAGCCCACACATGCGCCTTATGCCTCCTCATGCCAATTGCCGAAGCTATATAGGGGTGCGCAGGTGAACCACCATCAGTTCCTTCTCAGCCACCTCAGCCTGAGATAGAATTCTACCATGTCTACCTGGAGCATGCCTTGGCTTTTGTAATATTTCTGTAGTTGTTAGATAGTTTTTATAGTTAGATAAATAGTGAGAGAATTGTTTTACTCCTTTTCTTCTTGGGGAGACTTATTTTTTCCTGGTAGGGCATGCCTGGCTTGCCAGGTTTCACACTTTGTCTCTCCTGCCAAGAGACTATACCTGTGAGTGACAGCCACACTTAAGTGTGTTCATTCCTTGCAGGAGTCCCACGTCTCCCAGAAGTGCAACTTCTGCCTGGCCCTCAAATCCAGGGGAAGGAAAAACAGGGAGATTAAACTCAGACTGCTAATGAGGAAATTCCAGGGGTGGTTTAGAACAATTTATTGTCCAGTCAGAAACACCTTGAACACATAGGTGACAGTTCCTCTACAAGTGAGGAACTCCTTAGACTGGTGGAAGAACCAACTCAACATCTGTGCAGATGTTCCTTTCTGTCAGCCAGACCCATCAGTGACTTTAATGATGCATTGCCTCAGTACCTGCACAAATTAAGGCAGATGGACAACTTAAGAAACCAGTCTCCACATCAATCTGTTGGCATTCAGGGCTGTCAGGGCCTGCCTTCATTTCCTACCCTCATAAGGGGCAAATCGATCAGGGTCATGACGGACAACGTATCCTGCACATTCTATATCAGCAAACGGGGAGCAGGAAGATCTCCCTCTCTTGGCCCTGAAGTCATGAAGCTATGGAACTGGTTCATAGCTCATCAGATCCAAATCTCAGTGATCTATCTCTGCGGTATTCAGAACACCACAGCCAATGTCCTCAGCAGACATCTCTCGCAGGTCTACAAATGGGAGCTAGACACCCAAGTTCTCCCCAGCATATTCCTAAAATGAGGACTTACAGAGGTGGATTGCTTCACCACCTCCAGGAACAGGCAGTGTCCTCTTTTCTGCTCAAGAGAGGGTCTGAGCCACCACTCCTTGGGTGATGCCTTTCTTCTATCTTGGAAGAACTATCTGGTCTATGTGTGTCCTCCAATGTTACTGATATTAACGGTGATAAACAATATCAGGCAGGACAGAGCCAGAGTTATTCTAATAGTGCTGACCTGGCTAAGACAAGCTTGGTACCTTTACCTGTTCACCCGTGTGTCCAGCTGTCATTCAAGCTCAGAAACAATCCTCATCTCCTGTCACAGGATGCAGGTCATGTGCTTCTTCCCAACCTAGTGGTTCTCTGCCTCAGGGCATGGCTCATGGGGTTAGAATCTTCCTGCTCTATGGAAGTACAACAAGTATTACTGAACAGTAGAAAGAGGTCAACCTGCACTACTTACCTGCAGAAATGAAATAGATTCTTCCATTGGTGATGGTGTTGCTGCCTTTCAGTCATCCTGGATTATCTGTTGGCTCTAAAGAAATTTGGGTTATCAACTAGTTCAGTTAAGGTCCTTCTGGCTGCAATATCAGCCTTTCATCTTCTAGTAGAAAGATTCTCCATATTTGCTCATCTGGTATCATGTAGGTTTATTAAGAGTTTGGGGAATCTCTGGTCTGCAACCAGATTGCAGGCAACATCTACGGCATTACTGAAGACTACCAATATCTGAAAAATGTTGGGCCACTACCATGGGCTTCAGTACTTATGTTTTTGAAACATTATGTCCTGATCCATGCTGTCAGATCTGATGCAGCACTTGGTTCTGCAGTACTATCTTCAGTTCTGGGCTCTATTCTGAAGCTCCCTTCTCCATCTAGGGATGCTGCTCAGAAGTCCACCTGAAGTGGAGCACCCATAGGGACACTACTGGAAGAAGAAAAAGAGGTTATTCACTTTGTGCAGTAACTGCAGTTCTTTGAGATGTGTATCCATGGGTGCTCCACTACCTTCCCTCCTTTCCCTCTGCTTCAGACTGTTCCTTAGGGAATGTTTGGGTGGATAAGGAACTGAGGAAGGTTCATACACACACTCCTATAGCCTCGATATCTGGCACAAGGATGCATAGGACACATGCACAGGCCCAACGGACATAACAAACTGAAAATCTCTGATCAAGAGGAACACACATCTGAAGTGGGGCATCAAGAGGGGGACACATCTCTAAGAACCGCAGTTACTGCACAAAGTGAGTAACCTCTTCTTCTGCAGGGTAGATATGCAATTGGTCTTCACTTCAGGTCTGATCCTTTCTGGCAATCCCTATGCTTCTAAGGCTGATTTTAAAAATAAAAACAATGCATATTCTGATCCTGACATGGGGGTTATTAATGTGGTACAGAGTGTTTGACTATAGTTACCTTATTCTCATGCATGTAAGCTTTTCATGCAATGGCTCCCCAAGTCAGAATTGAGATACAGTGGCAGCATGTGGGGGATAGTGATGTGGAGAAGTTTACACCTCTACTGAACATTCTGTGTAAGTTCCATTGAAAATAAGGACAACTTGGGACTCCTATTTGTCTATTTGAAATGTTCTACAAACAATGGGATTTTTTAAATCCAATATTATATGAATTCAAAGAAAACTGGTAAAGGAAAATTCTGTCCTAGTGGCAGTGAACTTTTAGTATTGGATCACACAACATGGCAAGTGCTATAGCAAGATATCACATGCCTTTAAGGCCTTGAATTAAGTTTTTTCAGTATTCATGTCATGCTATTGCACAATAAGGCATCACTTGTATAATCATATTGAACTATAAAATATCTTCAAATATAGGTACTGAAATATGGCCAGAAATGTTCCATTTGTCATTTGTTTATTTACCATATTGAAGAAAGGGCATCATCGTGTTAAATAAGTATCTTTTAAATATAAATAACTCTCAGATTAATATTTTTCCTTCATTTGAGCCTTTTAATATATCATCTTATAAATCAACACTATGATCCTCACCCTTGAGCACCCTGTGTGGACATATTATTAAACCTTATTACAGCCGTTACAACTCAAAGACAGACTTCTGGGTTTCTTTTCTGAAGAGCTGTAAATATTGGAAAGGTGGTACTGGAAATTCAGCTTGAAAAGAACAAAGAAAGAAGGGCACTTAAAGAAAACCAGTGGTGGGTTTAAAAGGAACTTTTAGCAGTGCTATATGTCTGATCTCTAGAGAAACCGCTAAAGACCTGATCCGCCTCCCAGTGAAGTCTTGGGGCCCTTTGCCATTGGCTTCAATGAGCGCAGGAGTAGACCCTGGTTCAGATATTTCTAAATAAATTAGATTTACATTACATGGCTAATGTTAAAAATAATACAAAGAAAAAAGTAAACAGTGATACGGTTGTACAAAGAAGGTTTACAACAGAAGCAGCTTCATTTGCTATCAGATTGGCATAAAAGACGACTTAGTGTGGGCAAGGCTGAATGTGTTAAATTTGAAGTGAGTGCTGCATTAGACCCAGAGGGCCAGATTCTGGTCCCTGCTCCAGCTCAGTTACACCACTATGGTAGCACAAAGTTGCTGGGCCTGTAGACAGGTTTAAGTTAAATGTGCTCTGAGCTGCTCCAACTTAGAAGTTGTCTACACCGGAAGTTAGTGCACAGTAAGCTAGGGTATGAATTTAAAGTGCACTAAGAACTTCACACTAGTTCCCCATGTGGACACCCACAGTGTACTAAAAGTGCCCTCATGGGGGTTAGTTTAATACAAATTGCACTAAACTGATGCCCACAAAGGCATTCTTAGCACATAGTAAGTGTCCGCACAGGGAGTTAGTGTAGAGTAGCTAATGTGCACCAGGTGCTGTGGGGTTTTCTCTGTGTAGACAAGCCTTTACATCAGAAACCAGACTGGACTCTGGCTGGCTCCAGGATCTGTGGGAGGCATAAAGCAGAACTCAGCCACACTAGACAATCTGGCCCATTATCTTCAAAACTTAGGCCTGGTCTACAGACTGATTTTGGACTGGACCAGTGTAACTATGTGTGCTAGGGGTGTGATTCTTTTACTACATTGATACAATCCCTAGTATGGATGAAGTTGTACCAATAGAAAAGTGCTTATAGCTTATTCATTCCCCTTCTTGTACAGAAATAAGCCATAACAGCATCCACAGCAGGGATATCACGTTCACTGTGCTGGGAGAGCTAAAGTGGTACAACTTTTATGTAGAGACAAGGCCTAAGAGCCACAGCTGCATGCATTCATTTCCCCCCCCCCCCCCCATGCCCTGTATCTGCTCCACAACTATGCATTCAAATAAAGTAGCCAATAAGAAACAAAAGTAATTAATGGCTAGTTAGCAGGTGAACTTTTGCAAGTTCACCCATTAGGATGACCCATAATGAAGACTAAGATTTAGTCATGGGTATTTTTAGTCAAAGTCATGGACAGGTCACGGGCAATCAACAAAAATTCAGGCCCCATGACCTGTCCATGACTTGTACTATCTACCCCGACTAAATCTTGGGTGATCTGGGAGGCTCTGGGGGCACAGCTGCTGCTCTAGAGGGGGGGATCTGGTGAACCCGCTGGTGTTTGTGTGGTGGGGGGGGAGGCTGCTGGTGGGGGGCGGCCCAGGACCACCGCCGCTGCTACTGGTGGGGGGCGGCCTGCCAGCCTGGGACTGTTCCCACTGCTGCTGGTCAGGGACGGCCTGGGACCACTGCTACCGCTGTTAGGGGGGGGCAGCCCGGACTGTCTTGGACTGCCGCCGCGGCTGCTGGTGGGGGGCAGCCCAGGACTGCCACCGCAGCTGCTGGCAGGGGGCGGCCTGGGACCACCATTGTTGCGGGGAGGGGGGCCACTGCAGCTGGCCCCAGGGCCACCCAAGCTGCTCAGGCGGCCCTGGGGTCAGTCACACCTGCTGGCTGCAGAAGCCAATGAGGTCCCGGAAAGTCACGGAATCCGTCACTTCCGTGATCTCTGTGACAGACTCGCAGCCTTACCTGTAATACAAACGCAGGGTATACAGCTCTCATTGAAGCTAAAGGAAGTTTTGCAGTGGGCCTCAATGGTTGTAGGCTCAGGCCCAACGTTATTTTTAGTGCATTTCTTAAAACTATTATTTGTGCTGCTCTTATATCCTCTCACATGCTAGTCACTTCTACTTAATGTCAGCTAAGGAAGACTATTGTTCTAAGATACACAGTGTGGCCCAGTGGAGAATACACCACACTGGGAGTCTAGAGACCTTGGTTCTGTTTCCACCTCTCTCACTGACTTGCTGTGGGACTGTGATGGGTTGGGGAAGGGATATCTCAGTGGTTTGAGCATTGGCCTACTAAACCCAGGGTTGTGAGTTCAATCCTTGAGGGGGCCACTTAGGGATCTGGGGCAAAATCAGTACTTGGTCCTGTGAGTGAAGGCAGGGGGCTGGACTTGATGACCTTTCAGGGTCCCTTCCAGTTCTATAAGATAGGTATATCTCCATAGATTATTATATTTTATTATCACAGAAACCCCCTTGGGGCTGCCAACCGATGTGCCAAGATTACTCCTGCCCCTGCCTTCTCTGCCAGCTTGGGACTCCAGAACCCTGCCTGGCTGTGCCAGACACGCTTGCCAGCTACAAACACAGACCCAGGTCTGAACCACACCCCACAAACTGCAGGCTTAACTGAAAGCAGCTTAAGAAGTGTTCCTGTCTCTAACACTCAGATGCCCAACTCCCAATAGGTTCCAAACCTCAAGTAAATCCATTTTACCCTGTATAAAGCGTATACGGGGTAAACTCATAAATTGTTCGCCCCCTATAACACTGATAGCGAGAGATGCACAGCTGTTTGCCCCCACCCCTTCCTCCCAGGTATTAATACATACTCTGGGTTAATTAATAAGTAAAAAATGATTTTATTAAATACAAAAAGTAGGATTTAAGTGGTTCCAAGTGATAACAGACAGAACAAAGTGAATTACCAAGGAAAATAAAATAAAACACGCAAGCCTATGCCTAATACAGTAAGAAGCTGAATACAGATAAAATCTCACCCTCAGAGATGTTCCAATAAGCCTCTTTTACAGACTAGTCTAGGTCCAGCAGTCACTCACACCCCCTGTAGTTACTGTCCTTTGTCCCAGTTTCTTTCAGGTATCCTTTGGGGTGGAGAGGCTATCTCTTGAGCCAGCTGAAGATGAAATGGAGGGATCTCCCAGGGGTTTAAATAGACTTTCTCTTGTGGGTGGACACCCCTCCCTCCCTCTGTGTAGAATCCTAGCTACAAGATGGAGTTTTGGAGTCACATGGGCAAGTCACATGACCATGCATGACTCAGAACTTACAGGTAGCAGCCATTGCTCACATGCTACCTTGAACTTCCTCAAGTAGACTTCTTATGTGGATTGGAGCCTTCCAAGATCCATTGTCCGTTAAGTGTTTCTTGACCGGGCACTTTACTTGCAAATTCCTTTCCAAAGAAGTGCCCAAATGCCTTACTAAGGTTACTTAAAATCAAACAAGTACACAGCCAATATTCATAATTTTGAATACAAAAATGATACATGCATACAAATAGGATGAATATATTGAGAAGATCATAACCTTTACAGAGATATGTTACATGGCATATGTAGTATAAAACATATTCCAGTTATGTCATATATACATTCATAAGCATATTTCCATAAAGCATTATGGGGTGCAACGTCACAGGGACCTTGGACAGTTCACTTGGACCCAGATTTTCTGCTGTGCCAAGTTTCCACTTGATGCAAAAGTGGGAGCAATGGGAAGGAAGAGTTTGTCATGGAGAGTTGTAGCTTCCTGAGTCTCAAGCTGCATGTTTGCTACTGAATATTGCCAGCCCCCACGCATGAAAATCATGAGTCAGCGCTCAAAGATCATGAGAGTGGCCTAAAAGTTGTGAGATATTTTAAAAACAGAATAAATCGTGGTGTTTGCTCTGCCTTCTGGTTCACTCTCAAAGCTCTGTGCACAAAGGACCACATGCCACCTGAGGATAGCCAAGGCCCGATGCACTCCAGCTCCATCCCCAACCTACTTCTATGCCAGGACCAAGATGCACAAGCTCTGTTCACCAAACCAAAGGACTTCTCAGCAGGCTAGATCTAGCTGATTTCCAGCCTTTGTGCACCCACAAAGTAATGCAGAACTCAACAAGAATTTGGCCCTCCGAGTTTTAGAACCCCAACTAAACAATATTGTACTTTGTTAGGCACCCTGAAAGATACCAACTGAAAAGTACCATTACTGTTAGAATCACTTACCGGTCAGCAATCATAATGCACAAGATGGGAAAGAAAGCCTATGAAGAGAAAGCTATCACCAAAAAGGAGAAGCAGCATTACAGAAAATATAGCAAAGGACAAATCCTGCTGGCTCTAATGATGTGTAGTCCCATAGGCTTCAACAAACGACCCAGATGTGAATAAGGTCAACAAGATCGAGCCCACACTATATGATACTTTTATAAAAGATGTTTCCAGGTTGGAGTTAAGGAGACTATTGGACTCTTCTGCTGCTAGTCTAAATGCACAAGGACCTGAGAGCAAGATTTCCTAAAACTGAGAATGAAGGCTGTAGGAACAATGCAGTGCAATAATTTCATTAAAACATAAATCACTGTGTTTTAAACCCAAAATGAGATTTATATTGCTAATAAATGTTGACAGCACTATAAGTCCTCTTGTACCAGGGGATACTTCAAAAGATTCTGTTCTATGCAGCATCGTGGTTATTTGAATATAAATGGGAGCTTGCAGCAAGCTCCAGTTGCTTAATCTCACTGGGATAGATCCAGACTACAGTGTGCTACCTAATACAATAATTATTTCATGTTTTCCAGGTAAAAAGTGGGAGAGGGGAAATAATTTAGGCATACGATAGTCCCCACAGATTTTTTTTGTTCTATGATTCCAGGCTAAAGTGCAGGCTGCTTAGAGCATGGCCCCGAACTTGCACAAATTAAACCTATTCTTTTCTCTTTCAGGAAGAGATCTGTCCTAAAGTTGCAGGTGGACCTGTGCAGTCCTGCCTCTGGGCTTCAGCTGTCAATGTCAGAGACAAATATATTTATGTGACACAGCCCAAGCAGAACAGACTAATGATCATTGATATCCAGACACAGAAAGTCATGCAGGTACTTACCAGGCGAGCTATTTATTCAGGATGGCAAAGAGGCTTTGATATGCTAAAGAATTAGGTCCCTACCCAGTGAACCTGTGACCTAGCTCATGTGTTGGACAGATATTCTGTTTTCACTCGTTGGGGTATACGGCGTCATTTGCCATGCTATAACCTCATTCTCAAAAAAACTGCTTGATGGTATGATTCTCATAGTCCTAGGAAGACATCTGCAGTCACATTTGCAGCTACCTAGAAAGTATTTCTCACCTACACTTACTGGGTCAGTTTGTGACCTCAGTTATAACCAGATTGCCCAGGTGTAACGCTAGCAGAAATTGGCCCCTGTAGATGGAAGTTGTGGTGTGAGATGGAGTGTTGTCTGCTTAGCCAGATCAGGGGACTGGAATCGGGCTACCTAATTTCTATTTCTGGCTCTGTCACTGACTCACAGTGTGATTTTTTTTTAGCTAATTACACAACTTTGTGCCTCCATCTCCCTAAATTGGGGGGAGGAGGGGGTAGCGGGTGGATAATGGATTCCACAGGAACGTTCACAGTTATCTTTGTAAACAAATGTTAACATAAATAATGTTTGTAAGCCACCTTCACTTGACTAAATATGAATACAAATATTTGTTTCTTTGAAGTCTGTGGATGTTGACCCCCTACCAGCCAAATTACATTATGATAAATCACATGACCAAGTCTGGGTCCTTAGCTGGGGGAACATGCGGAAGTCCCATCCAACACTGCAGGTAAGTGTTGTGTAAAGTTAACATTATACCCTCTCTTTCTTTTAGCAGCACCATTGGCTACTGATAACACTTTCTGTCTTGAATTTTTGCATTGTCATTGTGCATTATTTCTCCCCCACCTCTCTTACAGTTTAATCTGGTTTTGAGCCACTGTCAGGCACAAAGCAGAGAATATGTTGTAAACCAGTAGTGGGAGTGTGTTGTTACCATTGTCCATTTTGTTTTTAAGACTGATGACAGAGCCAAATGCCACAAATGCATGCAGAAAGAACTGGGGTAACTGAGAAAAATACAAACAAACAAAGCTCATAGTGATTTTTGCTACCTGTTCAGAGCCTCCTTTAAAACAGCGCTGGCACAAAGTGGTTGTAAGGCAGCTGTAAAGGATACCCCTTTGGTCTAGGTGGTCTCGACAGCAGGCACAGAACCAACTCAGCCAGCTCATGACCCATATAGCAGTATCCCTTGGAGCAGGGAGCAAGTTTGGGGAGGACAACAGTGCCACCAACATTCTTACCCCCTGGGTATTCCCTTTTAGTATAACAGGCCATAGGGATCATTTTATCTGGGCTGGACGGCCCTCAGACAGCTCTGATCTGTGCCAAACCAGCCCTAGAAGAGGTGCAGAATTAGCCCTGCACTTAGCGCTGCACCAGCACAGGCTGCATGCCTCTCCACTGTAAAGGAGGACGAGAGAAGAATGCAAAGCATTATGTGGTATTGTGTGGAAAAGGCACTATATATACAAATACACTGTACTGTAGTTTTATAGTTCCTTCAGAACTCTTTGGCCAATCATGTGCCTGCATCCGAACAAGCCTGTTTCTCCTTTTTAACATCAAGAGAGGCTAGATAGTATATTAAAAACAATTAGCTACTCAGCTTTATACAGTGTGGGGCTAAGTTTTCTGCTGGTCCATTAAGATGCTGCTTATTTTCTTTGAATTCTGCTGATTTTATTTCAGTTCTGTCCCCAAATCTTGAGTCTCTTTCGTGAACCAACTATGGCGCGCAATACACTAGTATTCTTCTTCTCCTCTCAATGAAATATAAACCTTTAGCAGAGAAAGAGGTTGTTCACTGCTTCTGAGACTTTTGTATCGAGAAGTAAAAGAAGGGAGTGATAATTGAAAGTATCTGCAAACTCAGTTTCAAATCCCTTTTCCTGAATAAAAAGGTCAGGCTGGTTTCCAAAGCAGCTCTCAAGAATAAAGAAGCACACGCACAGCCTCTAGGACAAATTCTTCTTTAGAGACCCTAGTGCAAATGTGGAATAAGTCCATGAACCTCCATCTAGTTACTCCATGTTGATCCCAGTTTAACCAGAGCCCTACACATCATTTTACCAAGCTAATACAAGACCCAAGTTTGGCCCATCCACACGTACTGCTGTGTAATTGCTATTTTCTGATACCCATGGTCTAGAACCTTCTGGATCTATGAAACTCAAGCTTTCCCCTTTATAAATCATTGCCGACAACATCCAGATACTTAAAGGCTAGACTGAGCATAGACCTGCGTTAGGAGCAATATACAGCGCTGCTGTCCTGGGAAGGAACTGAGCCTCAGAGAGGCACAATTGCTTGTGGCGACGATATAGGAAAGGAAACAGAACATTAGGTTTGTTGGTAGCTAGAGAGCTTTTTAAGTTTTTTGTAAAAGCTTTTTAGGAAAACTTTTTTTGGGGTTTTTATTTTTTTTTTACTTTGTTTACAACACTTTTTAGTGATTACATTTTTTGCGTATGAAGAAGTTAGGCAGTATACATGCACATAAGATTACAAACTTATTTTTTGAGCGCGTGAACACCAGCTGCAAAGATGATGTCAGGTTGCCAATAAGTTTTCCAAATACAGACACTAGAACAAGGTTACTCCTGCCTCATTGCCAAGGGAACAGTTTGCCGTTCTTCAAGGCTTGTGATTAGGGAGCAACACATTCCTACAATTGCTTTCCTTCCCCCACCTGTCTCACACAGATGCCTTTCTGGAAGATACATATGCTTTACAAGTTGTTGGGTTCGGTACGGGAGTAACTGGATGAAATTTAAGGCCTGTGATATAGGGGAGATCCAACTCAATGATCTAATCCCCTCTTCCCATCCCCACCCCCACTGAATCTAGGGCTAGCTATAGACAGGTACTTAGGTGTTGCACTCGTAGGCACCTAGTGGAATTCTGAGCCCTGAGCTAGCTGCCTGGGCTACCCGTGCATTGCATAGGGAGAGTTAGATGCCCAAGAAGGAGATTCTTGGGAGCCAGCTGAGCAGGGAGTGGCCTAACCTAGCCAGGACTGAAATGCAGAGGAAAGGGGTGGGGCTTAGACCCCAATCAAAAGTATTTGGGCAGCTAACTCCCATTGATCTGGGCCTTAGGCACCTGAGTGACAGGCCAGAGGGGAGTGCCAATATTCTTAGCCACAAACCCTCTTCTGAAGTTAGGCATCTAAAAGCAAGATCAGCTTTTTCTCATGAAAAACCAGAGAGGAGGCCATCCAGACTGTTATGCCTGGTTTGGAGCAGGGATGTGAACTTGAGTCTTCTCCTTCTCAGACAAGTGCCCTAACCATAGGGCTATTGGGTATGCTAGGGACACACACAAGCGTGAGCCGAAAAATTCCCAACCTGCTTGGCCCTGATTTCGGGTGGGGCCCAAGCCCATGGGCATGCTCAGCACACACTAATGCAACTGAGTGCTTTAGGAGAGATAAGGGAATGCCCAGTGTGAGAATTGCTCTGGGGTTTCAGTTTGAGTGCGGGCTCCAAGCAGTGACATGGGCCCACCAGCAGATACTTTGATGCCTACAGGGTTAGATAGCAGCTGGACAGTGGTTCTGAAAATGTCAGTGGCACCAAATGTTGGCATTAGATGCCTAAAGAGGCAGTTAGGCACCCAAATATCTTGAGTCTACTCCAGCCCTTGTGTTGGCGCTTGAGAGTGGGAGGATCTTCTCCTTGCTGCCCTGCACAGCAGCTAAGTGCCCAGTTAAACTATTCAGGCCAGACGTTTGCCCATAAATTATCACCTTCTTTACAGCAGTTGCCAGGGTATTATACAGCAGGTGCCGTATTGCCATACATATTTTACAAACCACCTGGGCCCTGCTAAATAACTCAGGAATCCTGCACTGTTGTAACCTCTGGCAACAGAACAGCAGCAACTAAACAGAAGTTTCTGAAGCAATCTCCGCTAACTTCCCTGATGACTAGCATAGGTTCCTGGACAAGATAGAGGAAGACAAAATGGAGTCCCTTTACCCATTCCAACTTAATAGCTTCCATCCAGCTGTGAGAAGTTTCTGTAATTAAAGGAAAGATGGCACAGACTTGTGATTATTAACACGACAACACCAACTGCACAGCTGGAAACTTGTTATAGGGCTACAGTTCTCAGATGGTCCTTTCTGTTATCTTGTGAAGTGCAGATACACATGGATAGCATTAGATTAACATCAGCAGCGGTCTGCCTTTTGTTTTTCTGATCTCTCTCTTCCCCCCCCCCCCAAAAAAAGTTTGCAGTGTCAAATTTGATGAGGTTCCACCCCACTCCCCCACCCTAAAAAAAACATTAATGGTTTCCCACAGCTCTGTCATAAAAAAAAAAGAAATTCAGCTGTACAGCTTGACCTTAATTTTCTCCCTCTTCAGAAATCAAGGGTTTATCAAACAAAGCAATGCAGCCTATTAAGGGGCTGCTATTGTTTTGTTGTTACTAGTTTATGGGAAAGCAAATGTACAATACTGTTTCTGGCTTCATGAAAGCACTCTGCAAAAATTGGCATTTTTCTCAAACAATTTAATTGGAAGAAATCGAAATGGCATGACCAGAATGTTTGAACTAAACCTTTTAAGATTGTAGCACATCCTGTAATTAATTATTTAGCCATAAATTCAAAAGAACTCCTGTTAGCATGTCACATTAGCAAAAACTTCTAATGAATTGACCTAAATCTTCTTGAACCAAAACAATCCCAGTAAACAATTTCTGTATTTAATATTTTAATTGTTGAAAATTTCTACCTCCTCATTTTTCTGGGGTTATAAGGGAGATGATAAATCAGAGTTTCCATGGCAGCAGAAGGTTTGCTTTGTTCTGAAGGACAGCATTTCGAGAGAGTGCCTTTCTCTGCTCTTCCATGTATTTTACATGGTGCACTAGATGGGTGAACGTTTCTGCTCCTTCAAAGTGATAATTAATTGCTGTAAGTTAGCGTTAGATCATTCAAGCCAGTGAATTATCATTGTGCATTTAAGTGAGTTTAATACATATGAAATAAATGTTTACTTTAAACAGTTTGGAATACATTATTGTAGGGTTTAGTGTTGTCACACTATTTCAACTTGTGCATGATTGCTTTGTCTACTGCTATGAACATCATCTTATGAAAGCAGAGAGAGTTGTACACTTACCTTACAAATGTCAATCTTCAAATGCCATTTTATTAACACTATTTTTCAAGGCAGCTACTCCAAATGCTATTTTGAAAGTATTAATCAATTTGAATCTCCTAGATGCAAGGCAAATATCTTTTTGGTGTAACGCAGTTATGTAACCTGTATTTACTTCTCTCTTCCTTCTTGTTTTCCCTATGCTCAACATTTTGTTTATTTATTGTAGGTAATATCAGAGGCAAGTGCAGGGGAAAATCAGCATATCATCCGCACGCCATTTGAAGATGTGGATGATTTTTTCATACCACCTACAAATCTTATTATTAATCACATTAGGTAAGGAATGGTCCTAATGACTCGTCGTCGTCATGTTTTGTGCTTCTAGGGAACCTTCTGTCTAATTGGCTTAAAGTACTATACAAACATTAATGAATGTGTGATGTGGTTAAGTATTATTTTCCCCATTTTCCTGATGTGGAAACTGATGTACAGGGCCGGCTCTAGCTTTTTTGCTGCCCCAAGCAGCAAAAAAAAGCGCCGCCCCGAAACCCCCCCGCCGAGCGCCGCGCCGCCCCCCCGCCGAGCGCCGCCGGAACCCCCCCC